GGTGAGCCACCAAAACACACAAGTGGGGCCACTGGGTTAGGTCCCAGGCCAGCGGAGGAGGCAGCGGCCTTGGCACCGAGGACAGACTTGAACTTGCCCTGTCTGGTCTTTGTCCTCTCCTCTCTTCTCTCTGCAGTGCTGGGACCCCAGGGGCATTTGACCACTGAGCCACGTCCCCAGTCCTGTTTTGTATTTTATTTAGAGACAGGGTCTCACTGAGTTGCTTAGTGCCTTGCTGTTGCTGAGGCTGACTTTGAACTTGCGATTCTCCTGCCTCAGCCTCCCGAGCCACTGGGATTACAGGCGTGTGCCACCACGCCCGCCCCCCCAGGGTCTTGCACAGGCTAGGTACACACTTTACCACTGAGCTCCAGCTGGCCCCGAGGCCTGGTCCTTTCTGAACTGGACTGTGGAGGTTGGGAGCTCGGGTGCATCTTGGGAAGGAGGCTCCCTTTGGTGGCTACAGGCCTCTGTGGCCCCGTGGGTCTCTTCCGAGGTGTGCCAGCTGGGGTCTGGGTTGTTTGCATCCGGGCTCCTGGGGCTCTCCGGCAGCCCCTGCCCCCTCCCATCCCTCTCATTTCTCTTTGGATCCAAAGAAACATCCCACCTTCCCCTTCTGCCCTCGGCCCGTCTTTCTCCCTAGCGTGGTGATGAGGTGACATCACTGACCACAGTTTTATTTTCTGGGACCAGGGGATCTTCTTTCGTGCCCCCCGTGGCCCCTGCTCCTGTCAAGCATCCCTGCGGCAGCCCAGAATACTCCCAGCTGTGAGATGAAGGTTCCAGAGTTTAAAATTGCAACTGGGTACTATTTATACTCCAGCCGGAAGGAGGCTTTTGTGCAGCGAGTGGCTTATTTTGTTGTGGCAGCGACGGCTCACGCCAGAGGCAGGCGCTGGGCTCGGTTCAAACCTCAGTGGGGACAAGTGGGTGGCGGGCAGTTTTCAGGAGTGGGATGGCCCCAGCCTGCCCAGCAGCCTCTGGTCACACGTCCCCGGCAGGGCCCTGTGGTCAGTGGAGAAAGGGCTCATGTTCGGGGGAGCCTTCTTGCTCTGTGCCCGCTAATTAAACGGCTGCAGCCTAAATGGGCTCTTTTTTTTTTTTTAAAGAGAGAGAAATTTTAACATTTATTTTTTAGTTTTCGGCAGACACAACATCTCTGTATGTGGTGCTGAGGATCGAACCCGGGCCGCACGCATGCCAGGCGAGCGCGCTACCGCTTGAGCCACATCCCCAGCCCCTAAACGGCTCTTTATAGGTCAGGAAAGTAGTGCAGGCTCGAGGGGTGAAGGCTGCACAGGTGAGTAGGCAGCGGCTTCGTAGGCCGGCACTGCTCCTGTTTGGTTTGGCCCGTGGGGTGTTAAAAGATTCTTTTTTTTTGAACCTATGCCCATATTTAATAATTGGGACCTTTCCTATGATATTAGAATTTCTTGACAAATGTTGAGACTTGGCCAACCTCGGCCTGTGTTTCCTGACAGCTGCTGGCGGCCAGTTGCTTGAGACCTGGGTGAGCGCCTTTGAGAGGAGCCCAAGCCGGTATGTTCTCTCGCTCGCTTTCTCTTTTCAGTTCTGGGGCTGGAACCCAGAGCCTTGTGCATGCCAAGCCTGCACTCCACCCCTGACCACTCCCTCAGCACCCCAGTGTCTTGGACCCAACAACTGTTGAGCTTCAGACCCTCAGAGAGCCTAAGACCTTCAGGTCTCCTTTGTCAGGCCCGCTCCTCAGGGCTGAGCAAGCATGGTGACAGGGGTGCAGACAACCCTCAGGATGCCCGGTTAAACCTGAACTTCCAGTAAATAACGACTTCTTGATGGGCACAGCCGGGGCCTTGTCTGTTGAGCGGTTTTGTACACAGTTGTACAGAACTGCCCATGCTACACCTGTGCAGCTTATGCCACTTCTCTGAGGCTGCTGGGACATGCCAAGGTGCTTATCAGAGCAGGCTATGAGATGGGGGACTCCAACCTGCCTGAGACCCCTGGTCCAGCCTCTTGGTAACTGTGGGACCTTGGGCAGGTTACCTTACCTCTCTGAGCCTTGGTTTCCTCGTCTGTACCACAGGGAGGACAAGGATGGCTGTGTTAACTCCTGCTAGTACTTATGTGTCTCATCTCCACTGAACGGTGCAGAGTAGATGGCCACTGGCCTTGGCCAGTCCCCTGTGGCCGGGAGTCAAGAGGGCTGCAGTTCATTGCTACTGAAACAAGCCTGCAGAGGTTTGAGGAGGGAAGGGTCCGGGAGGGCCAGGGCAGGTGACCTAAGGCTTAGTTTGCTTAACCAAAAATAAATAAGCAAAGGCAAGAAGCAGCGAGGAAGGGTGGCCGTCTCCCTGGAAACCACCGCTGGCCGCAGGACCTTCTCGTTCCAGGCGCGGGCGGTGGAGGCGGCCATCGAGGGGCTACTCGTGGCGCTGGAGGACTTGAGCCTGGCGACCTGGTGAGTGGCCGCGAGGCGCGGGTGGAGCCAGGCCCGCGGCAGGGGCGACCCCGCTCGGGCAGCGCCGCCCCGCCCAGGTGCCGCCCGGCGGCCATCTTGACCCCTCTCCCCGGGGCCGCTGCAGGAGGCGCGGCGCGGCCACGAGGTGGCGCCCTGGAGCGGCCACGCGGTGGGGGGGGCGGGGGGGGGGCGCTCTATTAACTCCCCCGCGGGGACCGGGGTCGGGGACAGGGGAGGGCCCTGCGGGCGGCCGGGAGGAGCCCTCTGTCCCTCTGCCCTGCCGTGCGCCCCCCTCTGCACCCGGCCCGGGCAGGGAGACGTTGCCGAGGACCAGCCCGGTCCACCAGCGGGCGTGCAGCCCTGGGGGGCCATGGTGGAATTTTCTAGAAGATTCCAAGTTCAGTGAAGGCAAACCAGGAACCCAGGGTGGGGGCTTCTGCCTGGAGGTCCAGAGCACCCCGTCTTGTGGCCAGGTCCCCCTTCCCCCAGAGTGGACAAAGGCTGCCAGGCTGGGCCTGTCCAGGAGACCTAGGGCCCTGTGAAGCTCAGGGTCCACAGCCAGGTGTTAGAGGGTGCCCAGGGGGTGACAGTGACCACAGCCCCAGACGTACACCGAGCACCAGCTTTGTGCCAGGCACAGGCGTCTCGGTGCCCACCCTGGGCCAGCCTCTGGGGACATTGTTGGGAACAAGATGGGAACCAGCCCAGGAACCAGGTTCTCATGCAGAGGTGGCTCTACCTGGCGGCAAGGTGACCAGCAGGACTTTTTACAGCCAAATAACCTTCTTCCTCACAAGGTTAGCCCTTCTCCTGCCCAGGCCCCAAGATGAGCTGGGGACAGAGTCAGATCCATCCCCAGCCCCTGGGCCCTGTCCACGGAGGTGGAGGTCCGCCAGCCGGACCAGCCAGAGGGTGATGTGAGGCCCGGGGGTCCCAGAGCAGAGGCTGTCAGGGCCCCCTGGGGAACGGGAGGCTTACAGAGCAGGCGGCCTTGGATTTGGGGCTTGGGGGAGGAACAGCAGAGAAGGTGGGTCCGAAGACGGTGCAGACTGATGACCAAGGACATTGCGTCCTCACCTCCCCACCCATCCCCGGGCCCCCTGTGGAAGGAGGCCCCAGGCAGCCTGAGAGATGAGGAGAGCCCGGGGGGGAGTCCATGTGGACAGAGGTCACACCACCGCCCAGTCCTGGAAACCCGGCCAGGTGGTGGGAACTCTGGGTGCCGCCAGGCGCCCCGAGACTTCAGGCAGCACAGGGAGGTCCCCCAGCCCCGAGCGAAGCCCTGAATACGGAGGTTGGGCACAGATGACTCCCGGCCCAGGGCTGCCAACAGCTATGTTGATGTTTCTGGGGAAAAAAAAGGAATCAGCTGCTGATATTTTTAGAATTTCATGCCCAAAGTCTGGATTTCTGGCTTCTCTTGGAGAAATGGAGATCTGGTCCCCCTGGGGGGCCTGTCCCCTCACCCCCTGCAAGCATCTGCCCCTGTGGGTGGCAAGTGTGACCCACCCCAGGGATGGCCACCCTGGGCTTCTGTGTGTTGTGACAGGGTCCCCGTTCCAGGACATGGAGGGAGCGGGTCCCCTGTGGCAGCGAGACTGCCTGAGGGTATCTGCATAAGGGATGTGCCCAGCCTGCTTGTCCACCCAGGGTGCCTCTGTGGCTCCTGGGGGCATTTGGGTTTACAGTCCCTCACCTGTGTTCTGTGTAGTGCCACAGATGTCTCCGACTGTCCAGGCCTGGCGTGCCAGTGCGTGTGCCCTGTGTCAGCAGGTTCCACGGCTGTGGAGGGGCATCAGTTGTCAGCCTGAGGATGGGAGCTCCTTCTCTTTATAACTGCTCTAAAATCTAAGGTAGGGATGAGTGGGGACCTGCAGGGAGCAGGTGATGTCATGTTGTGGACCTCTCATGGTCCCCAGCTCCTCTCAGCCTTCAGAAACACTGATGAGTCCCGAGGTCCCAGAGTGGCCTGGCTGGCGCTGGGTGGCTTGTGGAGAAGCCTCATCCTGTTAAGACCAGGCCACCAGAGACCGAAGCCCAGCTTCCTTTCTGATGTGTTAATCTGTCCACCAGCCTGTCCTTGGTCCCCGTCTGTGACTGAAATTCACTACTCTGTCCAGGGACCTGTTCTGTTAGTACCCACTGTTGGTACACGAAGGTTGGGTCTGTGGGCCGCCAGGCACACCTCGGGCTTTACCTCTCGGAACCTTGTTTTCTCCTCTGTAACGTGGAGATGATGGCTCCTGTGGTCACAGCCTGAAACTTAGTGGTATAAAACAGCAGCAGATGTGGAGTACCTTAGGGCACAGAGGGGACAGCTCATCAGAGCCCCACGGCACTGCTGCCTGTCCACGTGGCTGCTTGGGCTTCCTCACTGCATGGCCGTCGGGCCACCATAGGCAGGAAGTGGAGTCTGTCAGGTCCCATGAGGCCCGGATATGGAAACTGACACAGGGTCCCTTCTGTCATACTTTACTGGTGAAAGTAACCACAGAGCCCACCAAGAACCAAAGGTGTGGAAGGGTGTGGACCCCCGCTTCATGGAGGAATGCGGCATCCCAGTCTGCTGTGACCTGCATTGAACAGCTGAGACAGAGGTGTGCGCTTTATTCGTGTCACTAGAATGGCTGAGATTTTAAAACCACCAAGATAGCAAGTGTTCACAAGGATGAAGCACAACTGAAGCTCACCCATTACCCGCGGACATGCAAAACAGTAGGGCTGCTTCGGAAGTGTGTCTCATAAAGTCAAACATCCGCTCATCTACATCCTGGTCTTCCTAATCTGAGGCCATTATAAAACACAAATGAAAACCAGTGTCCACACAAAGACTCAGCCACATATGCTTGTAGCAGCCCTGTTCCAAAGACCACAGACTGGGAGAAGCAGCCCCAATGACCATCAGCAAAGTGGTGGGGAATCGATGGTTTATGGAAATACTACTCAGCAATGAAAAAGGTGGGGGCTCCTGTACCCAGCCACATAGACGAGTCTCGCAGGCACGCTGTTGAGAGGGGGAAGCCAGACATGAGGCACTCTGGGCCACTCATTCCTGGGAAGTCCAGAAAGGCATGCCGATCGACAGTGTCAGCACTCGATGGAGTTCGGCTTTGGGCGGGAGGTTGTGGCTGGGTAGAGGCAGGGAGGACTTCCCGGGTGATGGGTGTGTTCTGCCTCTTGCCCTGGTTGTGATCACGCAGAGGTGAGCACATGTTCAAATCCTCGGGTCGCCCACTGAAGACCTGGCCCTTCATGTCGTCCACACTTAATTAACCATTTCTGAGCACAGTGTCGGCCACACATCCAGGACCCATAAACGGCAGCTGCTGCTTGTCCCTGTTACCCAGGCAGAGAGGCCCGGGCAGTGAGGTTCTCCAGTGATGGGATCTGTAGGGCCTTCCAGCTCCCGGCCCTGGGGGCCGCCTCAGGCCCACCCCGGGGAGCCGACGGCCTGCTCACAGGCAGGAAAGTCCCTGCTGGCCGAGGCCCAGCAGTTGCATTAGGAATGTGCCTGGGGTCACGTGCCGTGGCTCTCCTTCCTGGGAACACCGAAAGGTCCTGCTCTGTGATGACGTCAGCACCTGCTGCTGGACACGTGGGAGGGAGGACAGGCTGGGGAAGGGTCTGCCAGGCCTCCGGGCTGACAGACCTGCTGAGTGTGTGTCCTGGCAGAGCCCCAGAGAGCGCCGATCTTCCGTCGCCTCCGCTCTCCTCAGAGTGCAGACTCAGATGCCGCCGCGTGCTGCTGTGAAGGGGGTCGGGTGTGACCAAAGAGATGTGCCGCTTTCCTCTGACTGTCTTCCAAGAAGAAAGTGCCCCTGTAGCCACGGACTCCACATTAGGGACACTCTGGGGAGTGGTGGGCTCTGTGGTTAACCCAAGGGGACCCCTGTCAGCTCCAGCGGATTGTCACTGTGTGGGACACTGGCGGGCTCAGTGTGACCAGCTCTTTTGACAAGAAACTGGAAATCAGGGCTTCCCAGGGAAGCAGCCTGGCTCTGAGATCTTGGCCTCGCTTGTTGGGCTGTGGGTCTTGGCTTTGGGTGTGACCGGGCAGATGTGACAGGGCCCGCAGAAGCTGCCTGCAGACCCGTGGGCACGTGGCCTGGGACCACCCTGATTGGAGTCCCAGCCCCCCACTGCCTCGCTCCCTTGTTTCTCTGGGTCTGTTTTGTCACCTGCAGGATGAGGCTGGGGTGGACCAGTGCCTGCTTCAGAGGGTCTGTCCCCAGCACATGGACAGCGTGCAGATGTGGCCTGGGGGTTTCGTGCCCTCTCGGCTGGCCTACACTGAATGCCCCTGAAGTGGGCTCTCATGTCCCCAGCCCACGCGGGAACCCTATAGGTTCGGGGCTCTCCCACCCCCTGGGACCCCGGCCCTAAGTTACTGCGGCAGGCCCTGCCCTCTCGCCTGCAGCCTCAGCCCAGGAGACACGGCCTCCTGAGGGCCTCTTGCTCAGTCCACGGCCCCTCTGTCCTTCAGGTTTAGGGAAGGGGGGGCGGTTCCTGGATCCTCTCCACTGCCCCCCCAGACCAGCCCCCATCTCCCCACCCCATCTGCCGCTTTAGAATCGACAGAAGCCCTGGCGGTTGTGGCCGGACCTTGCCACAGGGGTCGTCTGCCCTCGGCTGCGTCAGGGGTCAGGGGTCGTCGCTGGCCCTGTGGAGGGCAGCAGCTCCTAGCGAATGGCCTTGGGAGGAAAGGGAGGGTCTGAGGGCTTTTCCCTGTCCCAGGTGACAGATGAGGGGGGCAGGGACCGCACGGGAGGGTGGGGACTGTGACGGAGCCCAGGCTGCGTCTGGAGCCTGGCTGGTGGCACCGAAGCCATTCACGGCCGAAGATGAGACCTGAGCCTTGGATCTCAAACCATCCTTGCATTCTGTCTGGGGCTGGTTTTCTATTTACAGACATTTCGAAGCTCTCTCAGACTGTCTCCCCCACCCGGTGTGTGTCTGGCCGGTGAGCGGGCAGCGGCGGGTGCTGCCTCTGCTCGGCTCCCACCGACCCCTCCTCCTGCCCCGGGCCAGCCTCCGGTGCCCCAGGGCACAGTGGCGTGTCCCCTGGGTCCCTCCGGCTGGGGCAGTGTTGGTCTCTCTCTTGCTCCTCCTGGTTCCACAGTGTGGTGACGGAGCGGTCGGGTGTCCGGTAGATGGTCCCTGGTTTGGGTTTCCCGCGGTGGGACCGGGGTTTGGTTCAGAGCACCACGGGGAGGGGCCTTCTCCTCACTCTGCCGGGGGCCCACGCGGCATCGTGCTGGTGTGGCCTCGGCTGCCCGTCTGAGGGGACACTGCAGGTTCCCCTCCTGGAAACTCCCTGCCCCCCCCGTTCCCGTGTCCTGTCCCTGGGTGCCCCTCTCCCTCGAGCCTGCCCGGGTTCCTCGGTGTCCTTGGGGACTGGTTCCAGGAGGCTCGCATCCCTGATGTCAAGTGGCTTAGCACTTGCACGTGGCCTGTCCCCACCCTCCGGGGACGTTATTTTTTTAATGCAGAGCTGGGTTGGGACCTGAGCCTGTACCTCCGAGCCCCACGCAGCCCTCCGGTTACTTCAGATCGTCCCTCGGTGACTCTGATGCCTAATGCGGTGCCCGAGCCACGGCGGTGCCTATGCCCTCCTGTCTAGAGAGCGAGGAGGACGTCGTTCGCGCTGGGCACAGACAGGTTTTGTCTTAGTATTTTGACGGGTGGTTGATGGACACCAGATGTGTGGCCACGGGTGTGGAGGGCGCCTGCATTATCGGCTTTGGGTTAGGATCCAGTGACACGTTATCATTTGTCACTAGAGTGTTCCCGCCTGGCTGTTGCTCTCCCAGGCTGGCCCCTGTGCCCTTTGACACGTCCCCGGCCTTGTTCCCGACTGTGGTACGGAGGTGCCCCAGGCTCATCTTACATGTTCCCTGTCCAGCCCTGGGACCACCCATGTCTCTGCTTAATGCTAAAGTTGGAAACTTAATACCAGAACCCTTGGGCCGGGTGGGTGCCTCGGAGGGCCGCGTTCACACACTGGTGGTCCCGTGTACCCCAGGGGTCTGCGGGAGAAGCCCTGTTCACATCCTCATCTTACAGATGAGCAAACTGAGGCTGGGGCGGGCAGGGACTGGCCTGGGGTCCTGGAGAAGGGGGGGGTAGGCCCGAGGCCACAGCCTGCTGCCACATGCACCCTCAGGACTGATCTTTGGCTCCGTGGAATCGGCATGAGAAAGAGGCGTCCCTGAGAGTGCTGGGCTCGGAGCCAGGTGCCCAGGAGATGGTGGCACCATGAGCAGAGCTGAATTCAAACATCGTCCTGAGCCCCAAGTCCAGCTCCTACTGTGTCCACTGGTGTTCCTCGGACCGCGGGCCCCAGAACCTGACTCCGGTGTCCGAGGAGCCTTGGCTGAAGGGATTCCGCCCCGCAGAGCAGGCTGCAGGGGGCATGGGGACAGAGTGAGACAGTCCTCCCCCAGTGGATCCCCAGTGTTGGAGAGCCGTGGGGACGCGACCGCAGGAAGGCAGACTCTCTCACGCACATGCAGAAGGTGGCTTGGCCTTGGCTCTGAAACAAAATGGAGGCTTCGGTGTCCCTCCGGCGATGACGGGAGGATGTGGCTGCTCAAAGTTCCCGGTCCCGTCTCCGATCCTTTCAGGCTGAAGAAACTGAAGGTTAAATGAGATGGTTCAAGAAAGAACAGCCAACACCCACGCGTAGCGGGCGCCTCGCCGGCGCGCTTCCTGGCTTGTGTGACGTCATTAATGGATATTAGTGACAGTCATCAACCCACTAGTTGGTTAATTCCAGCACAGTGAAAACTGGACTCGCCTCTGCTCTGGCTTAGAGAGGAGATTCCGAATCTTCCGTGTGCTCGAGGTCCGTGGTTTGCACATGAAGATGTCCAGCCTGGGCTCACGGCCCTGGGCTTGATTTTCGGTTCAGTGAATAATCCCTGGGTGAGTGGGGGGTCCTGGGCGTGACGTTGGTCCCCATCTGGAACTCCACGTTGTCCTCGACTGGATGCTACGTGGCATCGTGGCCATCAGTGGGGCCTGTGTGGACCCCTGTGGCCCCGAGGCCGTAAAGAGGGTGCAGTGACGTGGCCTCACAAGCCGCTTTCTTTTTCAGATCAGGAGTGACACTTCACAGATCTTGGAGGAAAATGTCCCAGTCCTTAAGGCCAAAGTGACAGAAATGCGTGGCCTCTATGCCAAAGTGGACCGGCTGGAGGTATGTCCAGGATAAGGGGGTTCCCTGTGACCGCAGGCTGGTCTGACCTTGAGAGTGTCGGCATCAGGCCGGCGGGGAGCTGGGGGTGAAGGGGGAGTGCTTCGTGGTTTTTTTTTTTTAACGACAAGAGTTCGCTTCCAACATTTAAAAATTGAGCTACTTTATATAAAAATCTGAATTTGAAGCTTCTTCTGAAAATCCAGAAGCACTGACAAACTGGGGTCCACATTTCTTTAAGTACTTTAATCTCCTTATTTTTCAAAGCATAAACACACTGGATGGGCACAGCCTAAGGACAATTCGTGGATTTTCATGTGTCAGTCCCACAGGAAGGTGACCCAGATGAGACCGAGCATCTGCAGGCCCTGGGCCCCCCCCCCCCTCGCTCTCGCTCTCCGTCTCCCCCTCTCTCTCTCCTGGGTATTGAACGTGGGGCACTTTACCAGCGAGCTCCATCCCCCATCCTTTTTGTTTGATTTTTGGTTTTGTGACAGAATCCCCCTAAGTTGCTGAGGGTCTCACCAACTTGCTGAGGCTCGCCTCAAACTCGTGATCCCCCTGCCTCAGCCTCCTGAGTCGTTGCAATCTCATCAGGCTGCATTCTTGCATAGGTGCTCCCTTTGCCACAGTCCCCACCACGCCCCGTTGCCCCCCATTGATTCCTCTCCCCGTCTGGTACTTGGCTCCGCGTCCCTCCGCGTCCCCTCAGAGGCTCAGCATCTCATTCCCCCCGCTGCTGCTGCTCGGCCAGGCTGGTTCCCTCCCTGTCCCTGTCTCCCAGGGGAGGGGTGAGCCCGTTCCCTGGAGCCCACCACTGGTCATGTGAGGCCGGAGCCTCACCCCTCGTCCGTCCACGTGTGGTCCTCAGCCTGGGCCCTGGCCTCTTGCTCAGCAAAGGACCAGGAGACAGGGCTCCCAGTGGCCCAGGGGTCACCTGGCTGGAGGGCTGGGCCCTCAGAGCAGCAGAGGGAGCCAGCAAGGCGGTCAGTACTGACTTAGCAGAGAATTAACATTCTTGTCAGCAGAGAAGGAGCAGGGGTATAATTAAAGCGATGCCCTTGGAATAGCTGATTCATTCACATTTTATTCCACGCGTTTGAGAGAGGAAAAGGAACTGGGAAGGTCTGTGCTGAGGCTCTCGCTGGCCGCCCGGCTGGCAGCCACTCCCTCCTGGACGTTCAGGCTACTGAGTGCCCCCAGGGGGCGGTCACAGCACAGCCAGGAGCACAGACCCGTCCTGCAGAGGAAGGCGCAGGGCCAGCATGTCCCTGATGGCTCCCTTGCTGCCGTAGCCAGTGACCGAAGGCTGGGTGGCTTCCGGCCCCAGTGCCACCTTCAGCCTGGAGGCCAGAAGCCCAGAGTGCCCCAGGGCTGGGCAGGTGCAGGTGTGTTCTTTCTGGGGCTCCAGGGAGTCTTTTCTCCTCCTCCATCTCCCAGCCTCTCCCACTCTGCCCCCCACTCCCTCGGGGGAGGACCCTCCTGGGGATGTGGGACCCTGGTGGCGCACGGTGATGGTCCAGGCCGGCAGCCTTGGCTAAGCCACCTGCCTGGTCTGTCTTGCCAGTAGCGTAGCCCGTTCCGGGGTCTGGGACAGAGTGTCTTGGGGGCCACCGCACACTGCCGACCACACGCCCGGCCAGGCTGCTGCTGTGCAGGGAGGGGAGGCCGGGAGGGTCTGCAGGCCCCGGGAGGGGGAGCAGCCGCGGGCAGGAGGGCAGGGCCGGCACAGCTCAGGCAGAGGCCCGGGCAGGAAGGAGGCTGTGGCCCTGAAAGAGTCCCGGGGCCAAGGGCCATGTGATGGAGCAGGGCTGGGGACATGGGCGCAGGAGCCAGGCTGCCCAGACCTTGCCAGCCGAGGCCTTTGTCCCCCAAGGGAAGGTGGAAGGGGGAGAGCACAGCCCGTGGCTGGTGGGCCAGCAAGCTCTGCCGTGGCCGTCCTGCAGACGGCTCCGCCCATGAGAAGCCACTCGCACCCTCCCTCCCACCCTCCAGTTGTGAAAAGCAAATATGTCTCCAGATGTCGCCAGAGGTCCCCTGGGGGGTGACTCCTGGCTTTCTGTGAGCCAGTGTGTGAGCCCCCATTTCCCTGCAAAAGGAGAATTGCTGCACGGGATGGTGTCAGGCCCAAATGCTCCTGTGTTCAACGAGCGTCTGTTGAACCATGGACACCCCCCCTGACGCGGTGCTGGGACACCTGAGGTGGGACCCTTGGTCTCCTGCTATCTGCTGGAGGAGCACCAGACAGGGACGCAGGATGGGTCTGACAGGGAGCTGTGGGAGCAGCCCAGGGGGCTGAGCAGAGCCAGAACGCAGGTCTTCCCTAGGATGGCCTTTCTGCTAAGGTCTGCAGCACGCCCTGGAGAACCCAGGCTGGGAACAGCCCGTGCAAAGGCCCGGGGGCAGGAAAGAGCAAAGCCCTTGGCTGTAGAGCTCCAGGTTAGGGATGGCACAGGACCATCAAAGGGGCTACTGTCCCTTTTCCCCTGAGAAAGTGCAAATTGATCACAGTAGCACCCCTTTATCCGTGTCTCACTTTCCATGGCTTCAGTTACCTGTGGTCAACCTCAGTCCAAAAATATCATGTAGAACGTTCTAGAAGCAAATACTTCATAAGTTTTACCTCTTGTGCCAGCCTGAGCTGGGTGATAAAAACTCATGCTGTCTACCCAGGCCACGTGTCACCCCCTCGTCCAGGGCACCCTGCTGTACAGGATTCCCACCTCTGGTGACGTGGCAGTCCCGACTGGCCCGTCGCAGGCTTGTGCTCCAGGACAGTGTGACGCTCACAGTCATTTTACTGCCAGACATTGTTAGAGTTGCTCCGTTTGCTATGAGCGGTCGGCGTCTCTGGCTGGGCCAAGGTGTCAAGTTTGTTGTTAAGCGAGGACAGGAGAAAACAGAGGGCCCCCCGCGGGTCCCCAGGAGTGCAGCCCCTGTGGGGGGTCCTGTGTCCAGGGCACGCTACTGTCTCACTGCAGGCCACCTTCTCAGGAAACCCCTCAGCAGCCCTGGGCCCGCAGGTCCAGCGTCCCTCTGTGGCCTGCCTGCCCTGGACTCCCCTCCAGGGGGGCCGAACCGCAGTGGCCTTCAGCGTCTGCTTTCCCTCAGTCACCCGACGCCCGCCTCACGGTGGGGTCACGACTTCCTTCTGTGTCCTGGCTGAGCCCTACCCCAGCCTGTGGGCGAGCCTGGGTCCACTGTCCATCATCAGTTGATGGACGATGGGTGGCTTGGACTTGGCTGTGAGGAACAATGCTGCTGGACATCTGTGGGTGGGCGTTTGTGTGGGTCTTGTTTGGCGTGGAGTCAGGGCTGGGTGGAGGAGCTGTGGCTACGGGGACTCCTAGCACCTCCCAGCTGTGTCCCAAAGTGGCTGCCCTGTTACTCCAGCGGCCGGTCCCAAAAGTCTTGGTGGAGATTGTGAAAGGGCCTGTGAACAGGAGCCGGCGCTGCTGCGGGGCCTGGTGCTGGAAGGCCACCCCCATTCCCTGCTGGGAACAGCTGGGGTTGCGCGGTAACTGTCACCTTCCGCGGGGTGGGACTCTCTGGGCTGCCCTAGAGTCTCCCCAACATTGAGCCTGAGGGGCGCTTCCCGGCGTTGCTCAGAAAGTTCTCTGTGACCGGGTCCCCAAGGCTCCAAGAGGGCACGACTCCTGTAGCAGAGTTCGCATTTCCCGCCGGCCAACAGGAAACGTGGGACAGGGAAACAGGAGCCGTGAGAACCCCGCGGTCCCAGGGGGCGGTGCAGAGCCAGGCAGCCGGGGCTCGGGTCTGGCCATCCAGAGACCGCAGCCTCCCAGAGCCCGTGTCCTCGCCGGCCATCTGGGGACGTGCCGTCGCCCCTCACGAGGTCAAGGGTGCAGGAGCCGGCAGCCCTGCCTGGCACCACGCGGGCGTCAGGACAGGCAGTGACGAGGTGGCAGCTGTTGTCACTGAGAGAAGCAGCCTCGTCTGGAGTGATGGCCACGCTCTGCCTGCCAGCTGGGGGCCCCGGGTGACTGGCGAGTCAGTGGCATTCACCCTGAGACCACCCTGCTTTCAGAATCTGTGTGACCCACCCGGTGGGGACTCTCCGGCGGCACTTGGTCCCCTGTCAGTTGCACCAGTAGAAACCGACCTTCCTGGGCGCCTGCTGTGGGCTCTGCGGCCATGAGACTGGCCTCCACGGCCGCGGCCCGGGGCCAGCCCCCCTCCACGGAAGAAAGGTGGAGGCCCCGCGAGCAGGGACTGGCCCAAGGCCCCGAGGAGGGACGTGCCAGTGGGGGCTGCGAGGTCTGTCCCGGAGCATGGAGTGGCCCTGCCTGGACGGCACCCGCCCTGCGGCTGGGCCAGAGGCTCCGCTCCTCAGTCAACCCGCGCCTAAGCCCGGCCGCCCTCCTGCCGCCTCCTCCCAGCGGCCTTTTCCCCAGAGAAGGGCAGGGGACCCCTGGGCCCCAGCCGTCCAGCCGTTCCCTCTGTCCCCTCTGCCACTACACCCTGGCCTGAGGACACACGGGCCGGCTTCATCCCAAGTCAGGTCTGCAGGCCCGGCCAGCGCCAGCCTCCCGTGGCAGCTTGGCCCTGCTGCCCTGGCGGGCGGCGGCGGAGCCACGGCTGGAACCAGGGCCGGAGCCACAGCCGGAGCCACGGCCAGGCCAGGGCCAGGGCTCCTCCCGCCTCGGCTCATGGAGGGTGAAGTCAGAGTCGGCTAGAGGAAGGGGACCCGCTCCCAGGTCACCTCAGATGTGCTGGCCAGGGACTGCTGCGGCCAGTCAGGACAGCTTCCCCGCCCTGGGACCTCACACACACACGCACACATGCTCACACACTGCTCACACATGCCCATACACACTCACACACTCATGCATATATACATGTACACATACTACACACACACTGCACACACTCACAATGCCCTCCACATGCACACACACACATACACTCTCAAACACACTCACAGGCACACACATGCACTCACACACATACACATGCTCACAATGCCCCCCCACTCACACTCTGGCCATCCAGAGACCTCACACTCCCTCACACACTCCCACATACACATACACGTGCCCCCACATGTATGCTCACATTGACATGCACACTCATGTGTACACACTCATGCACACATACACTCATGCATACCCACACATACACAGCACTCACATGCTCACACACAGCACATACACAAACTCGCTCACACTTACACATGTGCACACACACATCCTCACACATACACAAATACACTCACACACATGCTCATGTGCACATGCTCCCTCATGCCTACACACACACACACACAGGCTCATGCGCACACATGCACGCACATGCCAGGTGGCTCCTCAGCCCCTTGGCCCAGTCGCAGCCAGAACCAGGCAGCAGTGCCCAGTGGATGCCTGCGGCTTGGGCTCACCCAGGCCTCGTGTTTGCTGAGAAGGTGCTCGCTCCCTGCTCCCTGCTCCTGCTCCCTGCTCCTGCTCCCTGCTCCCTGCTCCCACATGCACCCAGGCCCTCTGGGGGCCCCTCTGCCCACCAGGCCCTGGTGCTGGCTCAGCACCTCCCCTCGCAGTGCCACATGCTGGAGACGGGTGACTCCACAGCGGCTCAGGGGCACTGTGAGGACAGGTGGTCAGGGAGGACCTCTGAGAGCACACGGTTAATTCAGGCCTGAGAGACAGGCAGGGCCACCCAAGCAGGGGGTGCCAGGCACTGGCCCCGTGGAAACAGAGTGACCTGGCCACTGTGGAGGAACCCAGGGGATGGAGGATGGCTGTGGGATGGGGGCAGCGGGGAGGGCTGGGTGGAGGTGGCAGTGCAGGACACCCAGTGCTGGACCTGGTGCAGGGTTGTTTCCATTTCACGATCGGAACAAGCGAGGGAGCCCAGGGAGGCGGTGCTTGTCTGAGATGGCACTGCAGCGGCCACCTCGAGTGAACACGCATGAACACGTGAACACGCATGAACACGTGCACACACGCGCTGATAGAGAAAAGTGTGAAAGGGCACCAGAGGTCACAGAGGGTCATGCCGGGCTCTCCGGGGCCTATGTAGCATTTTTTAAAGTGCGGGTTTATTGCTGGCATGAATAAAACCACAGCCTTTGCATAAAATTGGAATGTCTTTTTAAAAAATAATAACGTCTAACATTTAATGAGCTCCCTCTCCCTCTCTTTCCTTCAGTGCTGGAGATGGCACCCAGGGCCTTGCGCATGCCTGGCAAGCGCTCTGTCTCTGAGCCACACCCCAGTGAGCTCGTAATATGAGCTAAGCATTTAGCTTCTTTAATAAGGAGCTGTTGTCCGTTTTACAGATGAGAAAGTTGAGGCTAATAGGAATTAAGCAACTTGGGGAAAGGCACCTGGCTGGGGAGAGGGGGACTTGGATTCTAACCAGAGTCTGACTCCGGACAGCTTTTTCAGTTGGAACCTCTGCACTTGAGGCCTTGGGCTGGTTGGTCCCCGTGGGTCTGGACCCAGCATTCCTCGGTCTCCACCTGGTCCTCTGCACCTGCCTGGCCCCTGGAGCCTTCCGAATCCCAGTGTTCATCAACTATCAAAGTGAGCCTTGGGGCCATTCCTAAAAATGTGTGTGTGTGTGTGTGTGTATGTATGTATATATATATATATATATATATTTTAAAGAGAGAGAGAGAGAGAATTTTTAAAATATTTATTTCTTAGTTTTTGGTGGACATAACATCTTTTGTTTGTATGTGGTGCTGAGGATCAAACCCAGGCCGTATGCATGCCAGGCGAGCGCGCTACCGCTTGAGCCACATCTCCAGCCCCAAATGTGTATATTTTTTGCCCTGGGGATTGAAGCCAGGGCACTCAACCACTGAGCCACATGCCCAGCCCTTTGGATTTTGAGACAGGGTCTCACTAAGTTGCTGAGGGTCTTGCTGAGTTGCTGAGCCTGGCCTTGAGAACTTGAGATCCTCCTGCCTCAGTCATCCGAGTTGCTGGGATTACCGGTGTGCGCCACCATGCCTGGCTAAGAAATTCCGTTCTTAATGATCATTTTTTTAAAAAGGCTTTGAAATATGACAGACGTGCTTTGAGTGTCTTCTCTACTGCTTCCTGGCTATGTGACTTTGGTTGGGCAGGTGACCCAAACTCCCTGTGCCTCAGTTGTTCTCCTCTGTAAAATGGAGGCTAAAGAGAGGGTTCCTGTGGGAGAAAGTGGGAGAAAGCCACAGGACACCAGCAGGACCAGGCAGATCTGGCAGAAGCTGCCACCGTTACTGTTGGGGCATCTGCAAGCGTCTCCCCACCGAGCAGGCCTTGCCAGGCCCTGCAGGGAGGCCGCGGGGCCTGGAGGAGGGAGGCCGGGGCCAGTGGTCAAGGGTCTGGTGGCCCTGCCAGCTGAGGGAGCTCGACCAGGAATGTGCCCCAGGCCACTGCAGACGTGGCTTCATGGACTCTCTGTCTCTCTGCCAGGCCTTCGTCAGGATGGTTGGGCACCACGCTGCCCTCCTGGAAGCCCACGTGCGTCAGGCCGAGCGGGACCACGGGGCCTTCCCGCAGGCCCTGTGGAGGTGGCTGGGCTCCGCCGGGTTCCCCTCCTTCAGGAATGTGAGTATCTGCCCCCCAAAGTGAGGAGGGCTTCTCCCTGCTTCCTCGCAGACCCCCGAGCGGGGGAGAAGGCTCAGGAAGTAGAGTTCAAAGGGCAGTTTCCCTTCAGCAGACAGGAAGTGGTCTGCCTGGCCCCAGGGCTGGGGGCGCTCACCTGGCTTCCCTTAGGCACGGGCCTCTCTGTGCCCTGCACCTCAGCTGCAGTGCTGTGCCTGCTCACACAAAGCCCCCAAAGTTTATTAAGCGCCTACTGTTTGCCAAATTCTGTGCCCCACCTGGGATTACCACGGGAAGCAGAAGTAGCACCCCCCACTCTGTCCATATAAACTAAGGACGATGACCAGGGCCACGTCCAGGACGAGGCCAGGATGGGCCTCGTGAGACTGCGTGAGTCAGCCTGAAGCAGGCGGAGGAGCCCGGAAGGTGGCCGTGTGCAGAGGTTCCACATCCTGTTCTGACCTGGAGTCTCCCTACGACCCCCTGAGGATGGAAGGATCGTTGTGTCCCTTTTTCTGATGCAAAAATGGAGGCCAGATGGAACCTACAATGAAGACTTCACCATCACACATACCACCTACTGACCCTCAGGCCCAGGGGACATTCGTCCACCACTGGAGACAGTCGGTCAGTACATTATGGCCGGGATGCTTTAGCCATGTGCCGTGGGGTCCCCGGGTGCTGATCAACACCCCTCAATGCGCAGCAGACTCCCGCCCCGCTGTCAGGGTGCCGAGCGCCCTGGGGTGAGCTGGTCTGTGCGCCGCTTAGGGCTCATGTCGGTGTGTCCTGTGCCACTTCCTGGGGCACTGGCTTCTCTCAGCGGCCTTTGAGAAAGGCCCCTTTGTTGTCACACCTGTCCTACAGTTGGGGAGACCCACTAAGGCCCAGGGACGGAGGGCTTGCCTGAGGACACTAGCTGTAGTGGCTGGGGCCTGGTTGACCTTTCCCAGCCTTGCCCCTGGGGACAGGCACCTGCCCCACCAGCTGCCTGTCGCCCTCGGTCTACAGCGCGCCAGGCCCTGCGGGCACCCAGTGTGCACCTCGCGTCCCTGCCCGGCTGTGGTGAGTGTCACCCACCCCACAGGGGAGCGGAGCCCCTCAGCAGCCCTGGCACAGAATTGGGCCTTTGTAGGCTCCCGGGGGCCAGGCTGCAGTGACTGTGAGGCCTGAGCTGTCCCCCGGTAGCCACTCTCCGGGCCCGGGCCCCGGCTCCCAGCTCAGCTCCCTGTCGTCTGGCACCCGCCAGGGACACCTGCCCTCACCTGGCTGCCTCCAGAGCTCGGAGAGGGCTGCACAGTGGCCTCATGGATTGCAAGGTCCAGGGTCCCTTCTGGATCCCTCTGAGACGGAGTTCACACCACTTCCTGCCTCTCTCCAACTCCCGCCTTCTACCTTCCGATGACAATGAAGTCATGGGCTGCTTTTGTCCTGCCTTCCTTGAGTCACAGCGAACGTTCCTAGGTGACCAGGAGCCCAGCCTGCCCACTGACTGCTTTAGAGGCACACCATGGGGAGAGGATGGTGACCTCGGCATGGCCTCCTGCAGCCCTCTTGACAGCAGGTGCCGAGTGGGGGCTCTTGGCTCTGCCCTTCCCCTCCCCTCTAGTCCGTGGTCTGCAAGGTTTCACCGGCCTTCCACGGACAGACGGACGGGCCAAGGCTGCAGGGGGAGGTCAGTGCTGGGCTGGGAAGCCAGGCCTTTGGGTGCCCCAGCTGCTGCTGCTGCAGGGTCCATGGTGTCTGGACGGGCTGGGACCTGTTCCCGCTCACCTCCACCAGACTGCAGCGCTGGAGCAGGGGCCCAGGCCTACCTGTGGTGACTTGTTCCAGGAAGCTCGTCCCCAGGAGGTGAGTCATTCAGCAGCCGGGGCTGAACTTGGCCCCACCAGGCTCCTCTGGGGGAGGGGTGGGGAAGTGTGTGGGCCGGTTTCCCGGGAGCAGGCTGCAGGGGCCCCCCACCCCCTCTTTAAGTAGGTCTGCTCATTGCTGCTGCCTCAAAGGTGGGGGAACGAGGCCGGAGGGTCTTCTGGCCCAGGCAGGAGCGAGGTGCAGGGACCCAGGGCCCAGCTCTGCTCCCAGTGCTGAACTTGCCACCAGAGAGGAGCAGAACCTCCGGATGGCTCTTCTGTCCTTATTCCCAAAGCCAGGATTCCGCGTCTGGGATCTGTCCGCAGTGCCTTCCCGGGTGGCCTGCTGAGGCTCAGGCCTCAGGCGGGATTCACACCCAGGCAGCCTGAGGGGCCCAGGCAGGGTTGGGTCCCCTGGCTCATTTCCCTGGGGCTCAACTGTACCCCAGGGCTTAGCTCCTGCCCCCCACCTCCCCACCCTGGAGTCAGGTCTTGCCCTGTGCCCCTCCCTGTGCCCCTCCCTGCGCTCCCCTTCCCCACGGCCCTCCCCCAGCAGGTGTGGGGACCCTCCTGCAGCCCAGAGGGAGAGGCCTCAGCCTTCACCCTGGAGCCTGCGGGCCTCTTGGGGGTGTCCGCCTTTCCTGCTCCTTCATCAGCTGGAAGGGGAGTTGGGGGTCGGGGACCGGGGACAGGGAAAACTGGTCTAGTTCTTTCCGACCCCAGCGCTGGTTCCCAGCCCCTCCTTCCCTCCCCTCCCTCCCTCTGCAGTTGCAGGGGGGAGGCCCGGGTCCCCCAGCGCCCCAGGCACAGAGCATGGAAGCCATCCCCCCCCCATCCCAGCACAGGGGTCCCGGCCCCCCGCCACCACCATGTGATCTGGGGCTGGGATAGGCCTGGGCGGCCCCGAGGGGTGTGATGGCCAGGGTTCCCTAGGGAGGTCCCCTGCTGAAGCCCGCGCTTCCCTCTGCCTTTGAGCCTGAGGGAGACACGCAGGGTCCAGTGGCCTGGCACGTGGCACCGAGGCACAGGAAGGGGCCCGTCCCCACTGCAGAGTGGACATGCTCTCCTGGTCAGCAGCCCGTGTCCTCCTGCTGCCCCACGTCAAGGTCCAGTTTTCAATGATGCATCCGCACGGCCCCTCAGTGTGCGAGCCTCCAGCCAGGACCGACCTCCCTGTCCACCCCGGCCTCCATCCGCGAGATCTGCGAGATCTCTGATCTCCGGTCTCCGCCAGCGTTATCTCCTGGGCCTGAGGGCTTAGCTGTCAGCCTGTCACCTTGGAGGACAGCGTGTCTGGGGGGAGAATGTAGACGCTGACCGAATCCTAAGAACATCCGGTGGCCAGCTGCCCCCCGGGGGCCCTGGCCTGCTGGTTGAGAGGTCGGAGAGCCCTGGGGAGGGGCCCTGGAGGCCAGGAGCTGGATGAGGAGGACACGCTGTCTGGGGCCAGGAGAGGGGTGCTCCTGGCAGAGGGACCTGCAGGGGCTCTGGGGCCACGGGGCTTGGCGCTTGTGCAATAGCAGGAAGTCCCCGCAGGCTGGCCCGGGGGCAGCGGGTCAGGGAGGTGGCAGGCGCCAGATCCTACAGGTCTAAGGCCACAGAGAGGAGTCTAGCACTGTCCGCAGGGGCCTGGGGAGGGTGTGTAGCAGGGTGGCTTGGTCAGCTCTGCTTGCTGAGCCAAGGGGGCAGCGCACGTCACTGTCCTGTGAGCCTCAGATGTGGGAGCTGAGTGGCGCCGGCCGAGCCGTGGGGTGCTGTCCTGGGGAGTTTCCTCAGCCTGAAGGGTCCCTGCTGGGCCTTGAGCTCCGTGAGAGCCTCACCCCAGGGGGTCTGGGACCCTCTTCCCACCAGAGGGAGAAAAGAGCCCTGGGGGGGGCTCCAATCGAGCACCAGTGTCCCGGGCGCTGTCCCGAGGGAAGCTGCGGCCTGGCCCCGCACACCAAGCCCCCATCTGGAGGTGGCTCCAGACCTGTGCAGAGGGGACCATGGGAGACTCTGAACCCTAAGGGAAGCCTCAGCAGATGCCCCAGGCCTGTCCCAGCCAGGGCCCAGCCCTCCCTTGGCACACGCGCCCGGAGGCGCAGGGCAACCTGGCTAATCTGCCGCGAACCACTGTTTGTTTTCTGCGGGCCAAAGTGTCCACGAGGCGTCATCGGGATGGAGTTTTCCGATGGAGAGGAATGTGGTGCTTTCCAGGGAGGCTCTTGGGCTAATAGCGGAACCAAGTGAGGCTGCGTCCCTCCATCCTGCTGGGCAGATGGATGGCGTCCTGGCCTCCATGCCTGGCCCACCTGCTCACTCCTCCCCCAGCAGGGCCAGCAGGGGCCTGGGGAGGCTCAGACTTGCCCAGGACAGGCATCCAGAGGAGCTGGAGGGAGAAGGAGCTGGGCCCCCAGGGCAGGGAGGAACCGCAGGAGATTTACCCACAGGTGCCCAGGGGGCCATCGGGTCACAGAAATGAGTGTCTGCAGCGCAGGGCAGGAGGGAGTACTGGGGCCGTGGCAAATTGCACCCCTCATCTAAGGGGTACAAATTGCTTGGCACCAGCCTTGTGTAATTGGGGACCAAAGGTGGCTAGATTTTCCTATTTGGGGGAGAGAGCTGGACATTTGGGGTTGATATGACTCTTCCAGTGTCTTAAAGTCAGCAAACAATTTTTCTAAATGCTAAACATCATGGGGAAAATCTGTCGTAGACATGGTCTTACTCAGCACCTTCCCCAGCTTTGCATTTTAGGTGGGCGACCTGTCCCCTCAGGCCCCACCCATTTGGAGGCCTCTGAGACCAGGGAGGTGTGGGAGGGCTCTGCACCAGCTGCAGCGGGGCCCTGCAGCCTTTAGCAGGAGCCAAACTAAGAGCCGCCTGGCAGCCAGCAGTTTCATTGAGCATCTACTACCCAAGAAGGGCTTCCTGTGCCTGGCCTCAGTGTCCTATGATAACCCCCGAAGTGGACATCGTGTTCCAGTTTATAAGAAAGGGACCTGAGTGTCAGAGAGTGTTGTCCACTTGCCCAGGGCCGCACAGTGCAGGTTACAGAGCCTGGATCTGACCCAGCCTTGAGCTTGTTCTCTGTGTTTCTTCCAACCTGTCCTCTTCCCCTGGGCGGGCCGCAGCCCTGATGCCTGGGGTTGCAAACTAGAGATTCTCAGGCCA